TATCGCAAAAGAGATTGAGTAAATAACCTACACCAATCTTGCTCCATTAGCATAACAAAGACCACCCATTCCTAATTGGGATTATCATCACAGGCATGCTGTTGTTAAGTGCTTTGGAATCCAGTTCACTGGGACTCATAATAACCCTACATGGGTTTCCTAGGAGTTGGTGAGTTTGAACTGCAAACCTTGTGTTTAGCAGTTCAGTGCTTATCCAACAGTGTCACACCAGGACTTCATCACAAGCACAGAGGTTAGGATTTACAGTGCGTATTTTGGGGGACACAGTTCAAACCTTAACAAGCAGGTTTTTGCATTGCATTCCTTCCATCTGCATTCAATTGTTTTCCTGAAGAACATTCTTTTGGCAAAATCTGAACCGTTACACAGAATTTTAGGCTAACAGAGATTTTTCCCCCTTAGCATTTAGTATGTGGTCTCTATTGCTGTCACTGAAAAGCCTGTTGTCAGGCTGTGTATTATTCTTTGTAGCTGATCTAATCTTACTCTTTGGTTGCCTTTAACATTTTTCTGTTCTCTGACATTCTATCACTCCACTATATATCTTGGAAGTAGACATGCTTTTATTCATCCTTCTAGGATTATTATGCTTCTTAAATTTGAGGATTCATATCCTTAAATACAAGTTTATAAGTTAAATTATGGAGCTCTTCAACCCTCTCCCCTCCTCTGCTCTTTGTCTTCTTTCTGGTCTTAATCGCTTTCACATTCCCATCTCTTCCTTCTGTCACAATCTGGGCATGCTTCCATCTTCTAATCTACCAATTTTCTCTTTTCAAATATGCCTAATCTGGGGTTTAATTTGTCTTCTGCACTTTGAATTTCATTTTTAGTTCCAAAAGACTTAGCTTTTCAAACCTATTTTGCCTTTTACACAATGTTATCTTTTCTAATTTTTTAAAGAATGCTTTCTTTTACCTCCTAGTGATTTTAAACACACTTGTTTTGCTGTAACTCTACTATTTCAGGTTTGTGGGGTTGCTAGTCCTCTAGGATGTCTGTTTTGTGTCGTAAAGAGTTTATGGGTTTTGATCAGGAGCTCACTTGGGTGGGGCTCATTTTTGTCTGTAGACTAAGATGCAGTACGGCTTATGGTGTGTTTTCCTTTCTCAACCAGGCTGTCATATGCCTTTGTGTTCATATCTGCAATTTTCAACCTGAGGTTTTCAGGCACCTACACATTTATACACTTGGAACTGTGTGTCAGGATGTACTAGGTACTGGGTCTAGTGGTAAACACAACGGGTATTGTTACTGTATTTCTCAAATTATTGGTGAAAGGCCATGTCCCCAACCCTTTTCTTAATTTCTATATCTGTTGCCAACCAGTATTTTTGTAAAATATATAAAAAATATGGCAGCAATGCAAAATTATTATGAAAGGTTCTACAGCTTTACTCTCACTTTTGGTATTCATCTCTCATGGACGGTGTGCAGACTGACACTATCTGCAGACCATAGTTTTCAGGAGCACTGCTGGACAGCATACTGGTAGACCATTTTGGGGGCTTCTTCATATACTGGTGTGAATGGGGATGACAACTGTGGGCAGGTGACCAATTTGGAGAAGATACTCTGTTAGTGGTGGGTTGTCTAAAGAGCAAGAACTTTCTGAGAAGGATGAAATTAGGTCACAGTCTTCTTAAACTAGAATGCATTAAAAAAAAAAAAAAGGGGTGTGTGTGTGTAGGGGTGAGTTAAGGTGATAGACATTCAGAAGATAGCCACATTACAGTCTAGCTTTATAGTAATCGACAGTTATAATGAAGAGTACTCACGGACACTGAGCCAATTCTGACTCAGGAAGAATAAGGACCACTATCTGCCTCCTCTGTCATGTTGGTCCTTTAATAGGGCAGGACAGTAGGTAAAGCACAGCCAGGAATACTAATCATAAAGCTCAGAAAATTTATTTGTAGGTTTTCTTTTCTCATTGCTCTGCAAACAGTTGTATCACATCAGACACTGGCATGCATGCTGAAGAAACAGTGAACACTTTAATATTATCCTAATTGAGGATGATAAAAGCTGCTGAAATTTATTTCAAAGCCAGATGATTTGAGAATTATTTATCTCTTATAGAAAGCAGAGAATTAATTACACACATGGTCACTTAGCATAATGAATTCTAAAATATACACATCATTATACTTTAAGAGCAATAAATACCATAACTTTGAGAACCTATCAGTAATTAAAAAAATATGACACAAAATAAAAATACATTTCTCTTTATAAATTAAAAAGACTGATTTTCCAGGAGTGTGCTTTAAAGGTTTACCAAAAGTGATAGTTGGGGAAAAAAGTTGTGTTGGATGGACTCAATGTCTCAAAATATCTTACAGCTACTTACATCTTAAAGAATCTGAGCAGGTATGGTTGCAACATTCAGTCTTTCAACCTTTCACCTGTACTCTCGTACATTATTAAGTTCAGAACTACATTGTTTTCTTGCAACTGAGGTTTATTGTTTCCTTAATCCATTTTCTCAAACACCATTCAATACATTTATACTATTCCAGTAATTACCATGCTACTCAGAAAAACAAGAGAACAGTTTATTAAATATTTAATGAGGGTATGGAATGTTATACAGTACAAGTAAGACACCCAAGATGGGCATAATCATACTATTCACACAAAAAGTTTAATTTCACTTAAAAAAAAAAAAGAATACAAGACTAACTCCCCCCTAAAACACACACACACACACACACACACACACCAAAACAAAACAAAAAACAAACCCACGAGCAATTCCACCATTATGAAGTAAAGTAAGATATTTCATGCAAAGTACTAAAAAAGAAAAGAAAATACAAAACCCAAACACCCCAAACTCCGAGGAAACAAAGAGCTATCTGAAAATACTGCCATGCTAACAGATTAACCACAATATAATCATTCATAGAAAAAGAACATACTAAATAAGCAATGGATTAAACACAACAGCAATATTGTAAACACATAGACCACAATGATTTTACATGACAAGCAATTCCAGAATCACTCATAGGGTGAGTAACATGGGCTAAATGTTGAGAGATAAGGTATGTCAATATAAACCCCATTAACTCATCTCATTATCTATTATAAATCTGGAAGCTTACAGAACCTGAAAAATTGTATAAAATTTGGCATGCTCCATTGTGTTCCAAGAAATGACTTTAGAATCGTATTTGCAATCATCAGAGAACTTTATAAAAGCACTTCAAAGGGCAGAATTTGATCTCTTACATAATGGTCGCAATTTACATCATAGAAACAACTCTAGATATGCATTTCCTTGATTAATTCTTACTCAGGACAAGAAACATGATTTTCTAGCACTTTATGTACAAGTTACAGCAAAGAGCAAGTTAATTTAGAGACTGAATAAAAGAGGTGGACCAGTACAGAGAGTAAAGGGCAATGTCCTCATTTACAAAGATTTTGACAGGTAAAAATCCTTCCTTGACTTGTGAGGGAACTAGCTAGAACAACAAATAAAAATTTACCAAGCTGTAATGCATTGATCTATACCAAAATAATTTAGCATACTTCCTATATGTGTGGTGCTACTTTAGAACAGTCACCAAAACCCCAGTGCCAATGAGTTGATTCCAACTCAAACTAACTCTACATAGGGTTTCCAAGACTGTAAATCTTTACAGGAGTACACAGCCTCATCTTTCTCACATGGAGCGTCTGGTGGGTTTGAACTGCTGACCTTTTGGTTAGTAGTCTGACACAACGTACAGCACACCACTAGGGCTCCTTAGAAAACAGTCAGGAATGACTTTTTTTTTTTTCTTTCTTGGTGCAGCACTCCCATAGCTGCCAAACTAAACACAAGCCTGGTTACCAGGTGGGGCACAAACTGAAAACAGAGTTCCCACTGGGCAGAGTTAGATGCCTGCTTGGGAGGCCAGGAGAAAACTGAAACTGCACTCGATGGTTCTGGACTGAGTTTACCCATGGTTGTTAAGTTCCACTGAGTCGATTCCGACCCATAGTGACCCTTATTTATAGGGTTTCCAAGGAGCAGCTGGTGAGCTTGAACTACCAACCTTGCAGTTCAAACGACTTTGCAGTCTGACGCACTAGCCCACAGCGCCACACCAGGACTCGATAAGACCCCCCAAAAAAGAGGAACAGGAAACATTCTAGGACAGAAACCATCCCTTTCCCCTTTAGACTTATGGTAAACAGAACCAACTGGAAATTATCCAGGATTACCCTTCCTACTTCTGAAACGTAACTTCCTATTTACATTCCATGAAAAGAATACCATAATTGTATAATGGCAGTAAAAAACAGGAGCACTTGCTGGAATTTGCACAGAATAACAGTAGAAAATTTTCCAACATTACACTTAGAGTTTGAGGTTAGTTAAGAGGCTTCTTGGCAATCAGGCCTTATCATAGAGCTCTTTGGAATGTGTGTCTTAGACATAAAAAGATACCAAAAATTAAATCCCTAGCGTATTCATGAAACAAGTTCTTAAATGGGAGAGATCACTAATGAACGATAAATGCTTCCATCAGCAAATTACATCTGATAAATCAATCTTCCCCAGGTGACAAAGTTTCTGCTAACAACTCAACAGAGCCTCTGGAACCAACTGTACGATCATTCAATCATGACGATGTAAGATGAGGTACAGATGAGTACTCATGAGAAAAGTTCTGTAAACGGTTGAGTTCTTAAACAGTAGATTTATATTACAAAGCAATGTAAATAAATACTGGGCTAGTACAAAAGCTCTTATTTACAGTTTTACAAATGAAATCATATTCAGTGTAAATGCTGTGCTTTAAAGAACACAGTGTATTGGGGTAAAATGAGTTCTGTTGAGGGCATTACAGTTTGTGTTAGAATCAATGCATAACGTATAAAAGCTTCAAGTTAACTCTGTTTATAATTTAGTACAGACAAACCCAGTTTAACCTGGAATGGCATCTGTTAAAGTGCTGAAAACAGGAAATATTTAGAAAACACTGTACATTATTAAAGCTTTATCAAGTCAGAATTTGAAACTTGTTTCACATTTTTTATACTTTTGCCTCAGGTCTGTGGACAAGATGATCTTTTTCAGCAAAGGAGTAAAACTTAGAGACGACCAGCCGCTGCTTTGATGATTTTAGGTTTGCCAGAGTCAGCTTCCTAAAACTATTTATCCATCAACCATACCTTCAGGCCTCATAATCTGGTACGTAATCAAATATTCAGGATAAGCCTGAAAGAGAAGGAGTAATTCAAACAGTGTTAAACAGATTTTTTCAAAGGGTAAGATGACCTCCCATGAGGATCCCTAAGCTTTAGAAAGAGGTTCTGAATTGGTGTTGTGGATTGGTGTTGTGGATAAAGGGGCATTTTCTCACACCACCCTTTATCCAATCCCCTATATCTGGAGTCAGTGAATGTATGATGAGCACATTATGTGTCCATGTTTAATAACTGAGGTGATTCTGAATCAGCTCCTCACTCAGAACACTGTTCTAGGAACACTTTGATGGCAACTCTGTCACTGACAGCAGGAGAGAATTATGCATTCTTTGCTGCAGGTATGTTAACTATTAAATACAGAATTCTGATGACCTGTATTATACAGAAGTTAAAAAAGATCTAGTACAAATGGCAAAATTTGAATAAGGTTTGTCCATTAGATGAAATAGTGAATCAATGGTATTTTTGTGATTTTGATCATTTTAATAGCATGTCCTTGGTTTTAGGAAATACACATTTAGGTATTTAGGGAGTATAGAAGCATGGCAGCAACTTATTCTCAAACTGTTGTTAAGTGCAGTCAAGTTGGCTACAACTCAGTGATCCTGTATAGGGTTTCTGAGGCTTTAAATGTTTATAGGATCAGAGCGGTGGGTAGGCTAGAGCCGGTGACCTCTTGGTTCGCAGTTCAATGCTTATCTTACAGCGCTACCATGCTCTGTACTCTCAAATACTTCAGGAAAAAAGTAGTAAGTATATGTACACACACACTCATACCCCACAGAGTAAGGGAGGGAGAGTGCTAAGATGTTACCATTTGGGAACTCCGGGTGAGGTCATAAGTGAACTCTATTCTTTTTGCAACTTTTCTGTATAACTTTGAAATTATTTCCAAATAAAAGTTTGTTTTTTTCCCCCAAAGGTTAAAGTTCTTTTGGTTAAGAGGTTAAAGTATGGATCAATGGCATTTCTGAAGGTGAGTAAATGAAACAAAATTACCTGTTCACCTCTGTAAATAACATATTCAGCTAATGCTAGGCCATTAACGCTGGGCCGACCAGTGACTGAGTGGTGACCTGGAGGAGAATGTGCCATTTTCATTGCGCTAAACTGCAGGAAAGACTTTCCCAAGGTTACCCGGCAAAACAGCAGCTGCCTAGAATAGGAACAGGAAAACAATCCCTGACGAAAAACTGGGCATGACAATTTCCATTTGTGTAGCCTGTATCAGATTTAAAATGCATTGTCTTTATCATTTCATCCTTAAAATAATTTGTTAAGAATTCCTTCTACTACTCTTATTAATGAAAAAAATCTGTCAACTTAATAAAACCTTACTTTAACTATAAAACCTGAAAATCTTATTAAACTTCACCCAACTCATAGGTACTTACTGGAAGGGCTGGTAGCATAGTGGGTTCTGAGCTGGGCTGCTAACCTCAAAGTCATTAGTTTGAATCTACCAGTTGTTTTGTAGGAGAAAGTTTATAGCTTTCTGCTTCCATAAAGATTTATAGCTTCAGAAACCCTATTTGGGGCTGCTATGAGTGGGAACCAACTCAATGGCACATAACAAGTGGGAGGGAATTGAAGGTTTAAGGGGCATCTATGAGGTGACTTTATTCAACTAAATCCAGTTCATTCGACATTCAAAATAGATTTCAAATCCATTCATCTCTCTTAATTTCTACTGTCACCATGAGGTCCAAACCATTCCAAATCTTCACCTGAACTGTAACACTAGTCTCCCTAGCTAGTTTTCCCGTTTCTACTCTAATTCCCAATCTATTTTTATCTAAGCAACCAGTGTTTTTTTAAAAAGATCATAAATCAGATCAAGACACTTTTCTGCTTTAGAGGCTGCATACTGCACTTAGTATAAAGTCCAAATTTCCAGAATGTCCCACTTCTCTAATCTCACTTCACATTCACTATGCCAGGCATATTAATTTTCTTTCTTCATACAGGTCACACTTCTTACCTTATGACCTCTGTACATACAGTTCCCTTTACCACCTGGAATGGTATCTGTCCCAACACTCTTAAACTGGCTGTTGTTGTTAAGTGCTGTTGAGTTGGTTTGTACTCATAGCAACCCTGTACAGGGTTTTGAGGAGTGACTGCTGACCTTGTGGTTTGTCCAGTGAATAAGCAGTCCAGTGCTTATTCAGCCAAGGCTCCTGGCTGACTACCACTTATTTTTTTAGGTCTTAGCTGATAAGTTACATCCTTAAATAGATCTTTCCTTACCATGAATCCACTACTCCTTACTTAGTTACAATGAACCTTGCTTAAAGACAGAATTTTTTTTGGGGGGGTGGGGTGAGGGTGGAGGGAGGTATGTCTTATTGTTGATAATATGTACTACCTACTTAACAGTGTTGCAGAATGTAATTTGGTGATATCATTCTCAGATGACCACTGCAGATGTTCTAAGATTGAATTTACAAAAATACTAGCAATAAAGGGCAATAATAATGATGGGGAAATAAGGCATTTAACCTAATTAAGTCAGAACTGACTCATAGGGAGTCATCAGGATAGAACCCTGTTGCAAACTGACCCAATCTATTTATTTTTTAACCTTTTTATTTTTTAAGAGATGAAAAATAGATGTTGGTCGACTAGCTGTGTTCTCCAAATAAGAGAGGTTATATGCTTTTTTAAAAAAACTGACCCTTTGGAAGCCTTCTTAGCGTTTCTAATAGAGTTTCTATCATATTCATAATCAGTCCATTGATAATGTAGAGTACAGAATAGTTTCAGGTTAAAGTTATCTCCAGAGAACCAAGCATTCTGTCCCCAAGACAGTTATGGGAGGCGCCAGAACACTGCTTATTATTACTCACGACCAGATTTAGCCTTCAAGAGACATGACAAGTAAAACCAGCAGTGACCAATATTTAAATTTGTGACCTAAAATGGAAGTGAGTGAGCAGGCAGGCCTCCGAGGGCCTACTTTATAACACAGCCAGAAGTCGAAATTAAGAGGGTGAACACACCACTAACAAAAACAAAACCAGACACACACAGCTCTTGTTTCCCTACAGGCTGTGTTTCTTAATCTTGGGAGTGTTGAGCAATCAGTTGGGAAGCTTTTAAAAATCCTAATGCCCAAACCATACCCGAGACTAATGAAATGAAAATCTCTGTGGAACTCAGGCACTCAATTTTTTTTTTTTTAAGCTCCCCAGGTGACTCCAATGTGCAGCCAAGGTTGAGGACTACTGCTCCAGGGCTTTCCAGTGAGCACTATCAGCAACTCCTGGGGAAATGGGTAAACATGCAAGTCCTAGCGCCCTGTCCGATTCATACAATCAGAAATTCATGAGGTGGAGTCTTTAACAAACCCAGTATGTGATTTTGAGGACTGCTAAAGGTGAAGAACTACAGCTCTAGAATTTTGTAAGTAATGCCTTAACTGTAGAACAAATCTCACTAAATATTCTTACTTGATATTTCAAATAGTGTTAAGATATAATTTATTTGCCTCTGAGGATTATATACATTAAGGAAAAGTTATTGGAATAATATTAACAACTGAGTTAGACCAGTAACTACAAGTATGAAAACAAACAAAACAAAACAAAATAATTATTTGATAATTGTGTATTTTCTAAAGGGATAGATGGATTTTAATTATAATTCTTTAAGAGTAGTTAATGCCACAAATTGAGGTTCAGGATCTTATCACAGTGGAAGACTCCCTGACTCAATGCCAAGAAATGTTAGACTCATGACTGGGTCTAAGGGGATTGGCAAGTAATGCCATTTTAGCATTTGAATACTGGACTTTTTGAGAGAGAGAGCTGTCCAGTCAATTCTATCTCACAACAACCTTGTAGGACACAGTAGAACTTCTCCCTAGGGTTCTGAGACTGTAAACCTAATAAATCTAACCCAGTTCTTAGCTGATTCTTACCAAAATAAACCACGACAAATAATTTCTTACCTGTGGCAAATATAACAAGATCTGTCTTTGTGAACGGGACACCCAGTACCTCCTCCAATTCCATATACATACTGATTGCTTTTGGAAGAGTTTTCAGCAAAATAAATCCCAGCTCCAAACATTCCACCTATGTAGGCATGCCTTTCATCAAAGCCTTTATGAATGATTGCATTCACAAAGGGAGATCCTAAGATACATAGATAATAGCAAATTAAAATTTATCTTACAAGAAAAATGAGTCTTTTGGGAGTTAAATTCTCACCCAACAACTCTACCATCATAAAGCACAAACAAAAAACAAGGGCAACAAGTTACCTGTCAACCAGCTTGACATTAGAATAAAGGACACTGCTACCATCAATTAGTGTTCATAGTAGGGTACAGATTTGATTAGAAAGACAAACAGATAACTGGAAATCTCAAGTAAGGGTTATCAAATTCCAGATTCCAAATCGCTACAAACCCAGAACAGAGAGCCTCATAATGCACTTCATTTAGCAAGGCTGAATACATCTAAGTCTTAAATGCTGCCCATGACTGAATACTTCTACAAACCAAAAGCGGTGGCCAAAGTAGCTTCCTCATGTTTATTCTCTTCCTATTTCTCTTTTCTGTCTTGCCACTTCTCTGTCTTTCGATGTTACACCTGATTCCACCTGTAAATGTGTGCTTTCCCACATTCCCTACATACCAACTTCTTTCTTTTCCTTCCTTGCATGTGACAAGAAAGCCAAAGAGAGGTACTGAGCTTAGGAACCAGACCAGGGAAGTCTGGAAGAGAGTGAGAGTGGAGGTTATGAAAGTCCCAAATAACACAGCTAAATGATTGATTAAAATCAGTGTCCCTATTCATAGAGACCAAAAAACCTACCACTGAATTCTACTTTATAGAATTACTGATGAATAAAAAAACACTTTTTTGATTTACTTTGGAACCCCCAAACCACTTATGCTATAAAACAGAAAACCACTCGATATAACTATCAGGTTAATACATAGTAAGTGTGTGTGATATGTCTACTATCTACTAGGCTCTGTGCCTAAAAGTATCATGATGATTCTTATCGTTTTGAAATGAAGTACTGCACATGAATTTACCCTGCTATAACCATTCTTCTGGTTGACTGTGAATTTTAAATGCTGTGTTTGATAGAAAAGGAACCTTGGTGGTACAATGAGTTAAGCATTTGGCTGCTAACTGCAAGGTCAGCAGTTTAAACCCACGTCATTCTAATGGCGACTGATGAAGCTGTGTGCTCCTATAAGGATTTACAGTATCAGACACCCTAGGGAGCAACTCTGCTCTTTCTTAAAAAGTTGCTATGAGTCAGAACTGCCTCAGCAGCAGTGAGAGTTTTGGTTTTGTAGAAGTTTGTGTGTGTGTGTGTGTGTGTGTGTGTGTGTGCGTGCGCGCTGGGTGCCAATGAGTCAATTCCAACTCAAAGCAACCCTAGAGCACAGAGCAGAACTGTCCAAAGGGCTTCCTAGACCCAACAACGTATAGGAGCAGGTCATCAGGTCTTTCCTGCCATGCAGTGGCATTTAGCTTTTAGGCTGGCTAGCAGTCTAGTGCTTAACCACTGCACCACCAGAGAATTTTTCTATAATCATGACCAAAATGCAGGAATAGACTGGAGTTACTATGGGTAATGTGCTTGAAAACTTGATTCAACACTATGTTAATATCTATATTGTTAAAACTTGAAAACCTAATAATTATCAGCCTGTGAAGCATAAAACCAAAAATTAAAAGAGACCTCCATAGAGGTCAGTATCAATGGCTCTTAAAATTGAAGTTAATTGTGGTTTTGACACTTGGAATCAAAATCAGAATAGGATGCATAAGCTCTTCTGAGAGGATTTTCGAGGTCTTATTTTGATTTGGTCGACTAGTTAAAAGTAAAACACACCATTTCTCAAAGTGATAATAAAAAATAATATGCAAAATCTACTATTTAAAAAAAGAAAAAAAGAAGAACATAGAATGTGAGTAGTCAACATTCTAATTTTTATATTTTTCCCATTATGGGAATTCTATTTAAAACCATCTATAATGAAACAGGTGAATTCAAAATTAGTAGAAGATGTGAGCATAAATGTATAATTTGTAAAGTTAGTAGGATTAGAAAAAAGAAGAAAATTAAGAATAGACAGATTCTATTATTACTGCATATCTGGCAAACAGCTATACTGATGCAGAGGACAGTGGTGGGTATAGGGAAAGGAATCTTACCATGAAATAACATTCTTTCATTTGCATGGTTGTGGTTTTCTTCAGAAACCTCTTTTCTTCTGTGAGTGTATCGTTCCCATAATTTCTTGTTACAAACCTTCTGAATCTGAAAATATAAATGAGAAAAGTAAGATCTTTACTTTTTAATAATTATTTGTATTTGCTCATTTTAACTAGAAGATAGCCCAGACTGAGCATGAGGAGAAGCAACACTTTTCTAGGAAATGTAAAGTAGGTGTTATTTCAGTGAACTAAAAATACTTTGCCCCAATCATACAGTTGGTAGTACAGCTATGTTTTGTAAATTAAAAAAGCTACAAATAACCTATTATACAGGAAGGTGAAACACTGACATGTTGAGTTCTACATATAGGCATGAGAAAGAGAATAGTATCTTTTTCCTCCACTTTTTCTGGCCCAAAGTATCATTTCAATCTTTTTTTTTTTTTAACTATGATGTAAACACACACACCCTCACCCTCTCTACACCTACTATTCTCCCTACACATCCTCTCTCTCCAATTCCTAAACTTTTTCTTTGGAAAAGACTTAAGACAGAATCTGGTCTCATTGGGAGTATTCCTAAGGCCCAAACTCACAATCCCTAGTGGTTTCTTAGCCAATTTTAAGGGGCTACAGCCCCCTGCTGGTACCTAGTGCACACGTGGGAGCTGGTGTTTCAGTAAGTCTTAGGTCTAAGTCATACACACATAATTAAGAACCACAGTTATTATAAGGATTTTGAGAATCTGAACCTTCCAAAGATGCATTCTTTCCAAAAATATCCCTTGATGTCATGATAAAGACCATTAAGACTGGAATATCATTATGCTCTTATGAATGTTACTTTTGGCTTTGAAAACTGACTTCAGATCTCATTTACGTGTAAAAAGAAAAAAATATAAAGGTTGTTTTTAAACTTGAAAAATGTTATACAAAATATTTCATTAAAGTAACTTTGAGAATGAATAAAGCATATCTTTCTCAAATCCAACTTCCAACTACTCTGGAAATCAAACATATTCTTCTCTCTACCTTCACTCTTGAACTATCATATTTGTTATGACCTGTAAACAAAGTGGACTTGACTAAAATTTGCCTATCATAGGCATAACTATTTGTTTTCTTAAAAATTACATATATATATAACATGTCAAGATGTTATAAAAAGGGGTTCCTAGAAATATCCCTTTACCTGATGATTGTGTGTGTGTTTGAACACTCGGATCCCTGTGCTTTGGCCCATATGGATCATATTATTATGATCTTCATATGATCACGATTTAGAGGAAAACTCAGTAAATTTAGTATTCACTAACTCTGAAATTATAATTATAGCATATTATTTGGTGTTGAGTGCTGCTGACTCAGTTCTGACTCATAGTGACCCTGTACAGGGTTTACCATGGTGGGTTTGAACTGCTGACCTGTGGTTCGCAATCCAATGCTGATCTTACAGTGTTGCACCAGCACATTATTATAAAACAGTTAATACAACATAGGTAAAGGTTTGATACTATTCACTTTTGAGAATTTTCTATATTTTAATTCTTTTATAATTACTGTTAAGAACATACCGTGTACAATTTGATGAACTTGACCTACACCTATGTAGGTAGGTAGGATGCAGTAGCTCAAGAGGGAACAAATCTTTACAGCGAGAATCATTCCCAGACTCTCAATACACAGAGTAGACAGGGATGGACAGCTTGGACATTGGCTACCCCAAATGGGGGTGGGGGAGCTACAAAGGCAAGAAGTGACTGGCTTACAAGCTTTCAAGAGGGAGCCTAGATCCAGAGACCGTAGAGGAAGGTAGAATCTCTACTGAGTAGTATCTAATCTGTCTGGGCGGGGCTGATGAAAGGAGATGCATATAGGTCTCTTGTGGTATAATAGTGAATAACTGTTATCAGGACTGACTGTGAGGGTTGGAAATGTAAAGGTAGACAGATGTTTTGTATCAAAAGGAGGGGAGTGATTGACTTTGCAGTCTAGGAGCGGTGGTCCCTGGGACCAAAAAGGGAGAAGAGCAGATAGTGGGATCCTATCCAGAGAAACAGTGATGCCAGAGATGGAGGCAGAGATGACGATGTGGAGAGATGGAGTAGCTAGGGACTTTAGACTCAGAGAAGGGGAGGGGCTGTGTGCTGATGCCTAGGGGAGCAGGCTTGTAGGGTATACCCTTTGGTTGGCTGATGATGTATGGACAGTATTATAACCATGGCAATGAAATGATAATATGATAGGATGAATGTAAAGCTAATGTTTTCCCATGTAAGCCATCACATAATTCCCAATAAAACATAAAGAAATATATATATATCAGTGTAGTTAATTGATCCTGTAGAGAGTTTCCAAGGAGCAGCTGAGGGGTTTGAGCCAGTTAGAAGTCCAGTGCTTGTCCTACAGCAGAAGATACATGGAGAGTACTATTAAAGTTTGCAAAAAAGCTGTTATGTATAGAGACCTCCAGGATCTTGAGTAGTCACTCAGAGCAAAGACAAAGCATGGCATAAGGACAGAGACACTCCTTCTATGAACCACAAAAAATTTCAGCTTTGTTATCATAAAGAACCTTGTTGTTGTTATGTGCCATGGATCTGACTGATAGCGACCCTGACCAGGGTTTCCGAGGCTGTAAATCTTTACGGGAGCAGAATGCCTCATCTTTCCCCCGCAGAACAGCTAGTAGTTTCGAACTGCTGACCCTGAGGTTTGCAGCTCGATTCGTAACCACTACGCTACCAGAGCTCCTTAGCGTAAAGAACCTTAGCAATACTTTATTTAATAAAGTCCTAGATGTATAGGATTTATCATTACCCAGATAAAGCATAATCACTATAAATGAATGTGTTCGGAAAGGACTGGATTATTGTCTATTACAGGGATTCTGAGAAGCTGAACCTTCTAAGGATATATTCTTTTCAAAAACATGCCTTGATATCATGATAAAGCCCATTAAGACTGGACTATCATTATGTTTTTATGAAAGTAACTTTTGGCTTTGAAAACTGATTTCAGCAAACTTTATTTTCACTACATTATTACCTTGAGAATATTGTATCTGTTGAAGATTCCGCCTGCATGGCCCCCGTCTCTGTGTTCTCGGACTGTACTTTGCATCTGATGGAAATATTATTTCAAATGCATTAGCTTTTAGATCTTTTCTGATTTGGGAAACAGTTCTCAGTTCATCTGATTCTATTTTTGAGAACACAAAGCAGGTTGTAACATTTTTGTTATTTAAAGAATATAAGTTAAGTTCATGAATATTACTTTGTGGAGATATTTTATTGAGAGTGGGAATCTCTCAATAAAAAATGTTTATTAAGTGAGAGTTTAGAATCAAGTCTCACTTAATAAACGTTTATCTCCATGCTCAACCTACATATGTACGGTTGGTTATATGTTCTTCAGAGAATGCGGGCACCATTCAAACATTTAAGGGATTCTAACTTTTTTTTTTTTTTTTTCTTCCTTTTTTGAAGTGCCCTTGAGTTAGTTCTGACTTACAGTGACCCTACATAGGGTTTCCAAAGAGCAGCTGGTGGGCCTGAAACCCTGACTGTGTGGTTTGCAGTTCAGTGTAGATTTTACAGCACCACACAAGGAGTTTGTATTAAAAAGTTTTGTGTGAGTCAAGTTAGTGGGAAATTTTCCTGAGTAAATCGCACCCAAGTGTTCTGGGCTTATCTAGGATTCGGAATTGCCTTCATGAAAAGAGGAAACATTAGCATTTTCTTTCAAATGGCAGCAACCTCTTCTCTAAGAGAACTGTGTTATTAATTATAACTTGGAACGAAGTTACTGGAATCAAGACACACTGAGAGAATGTACCTTAAATGCCAACTGTGCAAAGTTTCCAGGTGGTAAAGTGTTAAAATTATACTGTATGTTCAATTAGATGTGGAAATTTACAAAATGAACCAACAATATATATTGATCTATCTTTTCAAGTTATTTAAAGTATATGAGCATACCTCTTCCTCCACAGACTGAAACTCTTTATCTTCAGGAGACAGATCTATGAGAATTGTTCCACTCCCGGAGGTGTTCAGAGTTAAGTATGGGTTAAGACCTATGAAATAAAATTTGAAGGTTAAAGAAAAATTGCCAACAATTAAAATCATCCAAAAACCGCTACCTGATTTATCTGATGGTTATCATTAATTAAAAAAAAAAACCCAACATAACTTTTTATTTTGGAATAATTTAGATACAGAAAGACTGATAGAGAGTCTATAGTATTCTGTGTATCCTTCACCAGACTTCTCACGATATCATTTTATATAACTATAGTATATTTGTCAAACTGTATAAACTAAATTGCAGGTTTTATTGGAGCCTCACCAGTTTTCCCCACTAATGTCCTTTTTCTGTCCTAGGATCCAAAGCAGGAAACCATCATGCATTTACACCATTAATTTCTGACCAGGCAAGCCACAGGGTTTTGTAGAAATATTTCAGAAAAATTTTCTGTTCTCTTATTTGAAATGTGTTTGTTATACACTTTCCTTATGATTATTTTTTTTACTATAGAGCCCTTTTAGTCTTTGATCCCTTTATTCTTCCTAAGCATGAGAAAGAATTCAGACCGATACTTACATAACTTCAAAGTAATTTAAAGTCATCCTAGACACCCCTGAGGCTCAATTTTCAGCCAAACAATATAAAGATGTATAGAGGGGATACCAATAGTTAAGGTATGCACACCATAATAAAATGGTTAACCATTTAAGATCAAAAGGGCACTGAATACCTAAAGACAAAGTTCAGAAGGGTTGGGAAAGAAAGGAGAATGGAAGTAAAGAGTCACAGGAGGAAGTGGGGTAGGTGATATTATACTGAGGGGACTGTAGTCACTGAGATGAAATGAAGTACATGATTTATTGGATGTAAGATTGATCTGCTCTTGAAACTTTCACTCAATTCACAAAGGTCAAAAAAAGTCTTTAGCAGAATTTGTTCAATGTCCCCACCCAAAAAGATAATGGAGTAAAATTATGAATAGAGTGCTACCTCACCATTCAATGCCTATTCTTATCTATAATTGGTTCTTTTAAAAAATTAGGCAATGAATTTGTTATGTTTTCTGAATGTCAAGGGTCAAAATAACCATAAACATTTTTGTATTTAACTCTTGCAAAAGCTCTTCTTATGGGGTTTTCTAATTTCTTTAATAACACAAATTTCTCTGATCTGTACAAGACTGATACAGCTCTGATATTATTCCAAATAGAAGTAGGGGCTGAATCCTTTACTGCTGCACAGAGGTTTGCTTTTGGGAATTCAAAACACAAATCTGGCTCTGAGCTGGGATCTGAAGACAAGACTATCACCAACAAGCCAGACTCTAATAGACATGTACAGACATGTCTGAGTTACAATGTCTGCATGAATTGTGGAGTTCATCTGTGGGAAGATTTTATAGGACAAAGACTGTGACAAATGGGTGACTAAAGCATCTGTGGATCTCTCCAAGAAGAGATATATCAGTGTTGAAAGATGAGGACATATAATCTATAGATTTGATGCACTGAATGACAGCAAAGTCTATTAAGTCATCAAGGTGAGAGATTGTTGGAAAAATCACTGCAGGCAGCTAATGATCCCACATTGCAAAATTAGGTCTAATACAGATATAGAACCCTGACTTTAAATGAAGATGAGGAAGATGTTAACAAAGAAACAGGAAAAGTGACCCTGATATGCTGTATCAGACACAGCCATTCTGTCTCATGATCATTTTTCTTCTCTTCATAAGCATGAATGTTCCGATCCAATTGTAGCTGCATGTTTTCAGTGACTGTAGGACCAGAAGTGTCATGGAGAAAATCTGCTACCTGGAGACAGTGTAACGTTGTCTTCACTGTTTCTTGAGCCTTTCCATACAGTCTTAACTATGTACCGGACACTATAATGTATAAATATACAAACACTGCCTGTTTTTCTTTCTTTTATACAAAGTGTAAAAAAGTGTCACTTTCCTAAGTGATACTTATTATCCCAGAGTTCCACTGGGACTGCTATCTTACCAGACCTAAATTATTTCAGTAGAAGCACAAGTGTACTCTACTGCTACTACTACTTCGTCTTCATTTTTTTAATGCTACTTTTACACTAAGCATTTTAGGGAGCTGTGAGTGTCCTCTTTTTCTAGCTTACATATTTTGCCATCTATGCTAGAAATATCAGATTCTATCCCATTTGAACCTTGTCACTTTTAATGGACCCTACCTTAGAACACCAGTTTAAAGCATTCCTTAGCATGAATCACCTAATTCTGAGAGGTGCTCTATTTCTTTGTCAAAAGGTGGACCCCATCCTGGCTAGTATATATTCTTCCTTGAAAATCCCTTCATTTTTTGCTAATGGCAGTTTCTCAGAAATTCTTATTGTACAGCCACGACTACCAGGTGCTTCTGACACTATGACTCAGAAGTGATTTGACAGCAGTGGTTTGATTTCTTTCTGGTAGAGCAATAATGGGTCAGAAATTTTAGCTAGGTTCACACAGGAAGTAACAGAAGCCTGAGAAGTTGAAAAGTCAGTAAAGACTTGATCCCAGGTTTTCTGAATCCTAATTAGTGCTTGTTCTATTATACTGACTCTCGATTATACATACATTTTTGAATTATCATTTAGTTAAGCTGAGGACTGCCTTTATGCAAACTTTTAAACTGACAGCAATTATTTCAAATGAAATACCTTGTTGTCCAGAGATAAGTCTCTCAACACCTTTAATTAGTTTGTGTCTATGTCCATAGGCATTGATTCCAATCTCCTTCAGTTCCTTGTGCCCCATCTCAACTAACACATCCAAGGTGATCTTATAAAAGAGGATGAAACAGGTTAGACTCTTACTCATGAGAATAATTCATATTATCAGGCTCCCACAATACAGTGGATTCATACATTTACTTCAAATTATTTTGAGCAGTTTATAAATGAAAACAAACCAGTTAAGGGAAAAGAACCTGACAAGAATAAACTGCAAGACAAAAATGCACTTTAACTACAGTCAGGCATACTATTTTATCTTGGAAAAGCAGGTTCTTTGACATTATCACTTCATATGCACCTGTTATACAATGCCTTCCAAGGTTCCTTTAAATTCCAGACTATGCTCACTGGCACTTCTGTATCTGCTCAAACTCATCTTTTTTAGCCCAAATAAAAAAATTTCACTGTGTGACACTGAAGTCATTCTTTAAAATGCTGTTTAATTCACAGACCTTCAATGAAGCTTTCCCTGAATTATCCAGCTCAGGGACCTATTCCTAAAATTATTTTTTTCCTCTATTCTTGTTCTAGCTCCATACCCAGATATAAAACTACTTAGGGAAACAAGTTTACTGAACCACAAAATTCAGTAAATATGCTCAGATGGAATACTTTAAATTGGGACTGTTCTAGAAAGTGGCTGGCCTATCTACATACCTCCCCATAGTGGTGAGAGAAGTGTCAGGTTCGAGAAGATAGTGATTGATATAAAAGAACAGAACAAAGGAGATCAAGGGTAACTTTAACAATGGAATAAAGTAAATTTTGCACTTAAGAAAGCTACTTTATTATTACTTTTTAAAAATGTGTGTACTATTTTTATGAGCTAATATACACAATGGAAATTCCAGGATCAAGTCAAATTAACAATGAGTTATTTCCACTCTCTTAAAAACCACTGCCCCCAGTAGCTTGAATGGTTCAGGGCATTAAAAACAAATAAGCTGACATCAAGTTGATTGTGACTTAAAGCAACTTCATATATATTGTGCAACTTTTCCCTACACTGAAGTTCCACAAAACACGAATTAAGGAATATAATCAATCTACTCACTTGTTCTCTTTCAAATATATCCATCAGGTGCTCAAGCCCAAGATTCCTTACAAACTGAGTTATGCTAAAATCTACTCCTGGAACTGGAAAATAAAAACATCCATGACATAGCTACACATCAAAATAATGAATGCCAACATTATAACCATAAAGTTTCATGACATGGCTATATATATAGTAAGAACATAAAGATGCAGGAACATATTAATAGTCACTTGGGATATAATACTGAACAAAATAACAAAAATTACAAAGAGAAAGCTATAAATTTTCCAAGTCATTACAAAAATCAATGAAGTTTTAAGTTTTTACATTAAGCTTTATTTTTTTTGGAGTCTTTAAAATTAGTTTCCTTATCTTTCAAGATATAAACTTATTTTAAATAAAGTTTATGAGAACAAGTCCCATAGATTTGTATAAGTAAGAAGAAGAGACTAGATTACAGACATTACAGGTGTGTGTATCTCTTTTCCTTTTAAAAAATACACTTCAAAGTTGGGTATTTTGACATGGGGGTGGTGGTCTACAGGCACATAACTCTGTAATTGTATACCAGGAAATACAATCAAAAAGTAACGATGGTGGTAAAGTGATTAAAGTGCTCGATTACTAACCAAAAAGTCAGTGGTTCAAACCTATCAGCTGCTCCACGGGATAGAAGTGGCAGTCAGCTCTATAAAGATGTTGTTGTTGTTAAGTGCCGTCGAGTCATTTCTGACCCATAGCGATCCTGTATAGGGTTTTTGAGGAGCGCTGGTGAGCTTGAACCGCCAACCTTGCAGTTCAATTGGCTTTGTTGTTTGACGCATTAACTAACAGCACCATACAGATCTGGAAACCCTATGGGGCAACTTTAAACTCTTGTCCTTTAGGGTTGCAATCGATTCAACGGCAATGGGTTTGTATTTTAGTTTTCACTCAACCAAAAGGACTTCTACACCTTGAAAAAGCATGTGTTCATTTAAGTAGTAGTTGAGCAGCCTAAGACTCATCAACTCTTAAAACTGGAATGGAGAACGTTCATTAGAAATGCTATTCATGTTGGAAAGAAAAACAATAAAAGGCTAACACTTCTGGGCTATGTTAATGGATCTGATACTCATAGTAGTATTTTAGGTTTAAAAATGCCCTTTTTTAACATTCAAAAGGGCAACCATGGGGCTACAACACCAGTTAAGTTAGTTTTGCAAAATGTCTCACCTTCCTTTTTTTCCAAACTGGAAGTACTCTCTGTTCCACTTGAACTCACTACTGAAGACAATTCAGAAAAACTTCCAGATAAGTTGTCAAGACTGCTGGCTGCAGAAAGGCTGGATGGGCTGGATGGGCCTGAAGACAGAGAGTCTGCTGTGGTTCCTGAGCTCCGTACACCACTGAGCACCTGTGACTTGTAACACGAAGGCAGAGCGGAAGGGGGCATGGCTGCGGCCAACAAAGCACTGACATCATCGGCCTAGGGTGCACATCAGAGAGAGATGAAATCCACTATGAGCATATTTTACAATCCTATTACTCACAATAGAATGCATTTAAAAAAATATGACATTATACTAAAATTACAGGTTATTCTAATTACTTTACATAAGGAAACAGACCAGTTGATATTCAGCCACACTGTTATAAAATAGAAAACATAATTCAGAACCTCCAACACATGTAGAATCAAAATAAATACTGTTCACATGGCAAAGCATGAAGAACATCCCAACTTTGAAACTGACTAAAAAGAATTGGAATGGAATTACAGAAATATCAATTTAAAAAGGCAAGAAAGACCTTTGAACTCTATTACTAATTCTCTGAAAGATATAATTCAACCTATATGGAATTTTAGCAAGTAGTTGGTTTGTCTTAGAAAACATTCAACCAAGTAATAATTTTATTCAAACCTACTATTAGGATGGTATAAAGCCCCCCAATTTAATTCTGGTACCTGAATTATTTTACTTAGTGATATGTACCATTTTTTCATAATGCTCAAGTAGGATACTAAGTAATTAACATTCAGCAAGAAGTAACCAAGGACTTGTTTTTACTGTTTGTCATTTATATGGCCTGCTCCAATCTTCACCTTTTCTTTCCCCTAGGATGAGGACTCCACTGACACTCACAGCTTGCATGTAAGATTTGTTCATAATAATAGTGCCATTTGTTGTTGTTGTTTTTGTTAAGTGCCGTCGAGTCGGTTCCGACCCACAGCGACCCTGTACAGATTTTCCGAGGCTGTAAATCTTTACGGGAGCAGAAAGCCTCATCTTTCTCCCACAGAGCGGCTAGTAGTTTCGAATTGCTGACCTTAAGGTTCGCAGCCCGATTCGTAACCACTACGCTACCAGTGCTTATATGTACCTGCTACCATGCTGATGACATTAAGTATATTTTGTTTAATTCTATTAACAGACATATCTTGTCCCCATGTATACATGAAGTTATTGAGGCTTAGAGGTTTAACAAGGTTGTACCATGAAAAGTGATAAAAGGTGGACTTCTTATCCAGGTCTCTGTTGGACATTAAAGCCTATATATGAAAGTACTTTGCTTTACTGTCACTAATTATAACTGGTGAACTAAAAAATGGGCAGACTGAATTCCAAAAGTATTCCTGAAGAATTACTGTAAATATGTTTGGATTGTCAATCTGCTAAAATCTACTTAACCCCAAGGCAGTTGAACTAAATCAAATCAGCTTTACACTGTAAATCGGAACAATGGAATCTCTCTCAGTAGAAAGCAGTCTATAGAAGAGATTTCTCCTCTTTCCTTCCCATTTAGGAAAGTATTTCTTCTCCCTACTGCTCTGGTTAATATTCTCAGTAATTGAGGCAAGAGTGGCACTTTTGACACAGTGGTCAAAGCCACATTGGAAGCTATACTGGAGCCTCCTGTGGGTAGAGAAGGGCAAAGAGCCCTCCTCAGAAGGAACACACTTGGTGTTTATTAAATAAATGATAAACATTTATTTATCAGTAAATGATAAATAGTATCATTTATTCTGGTGGAGTCAGCAACTAGAACTCCGGGGCTAAGGCACTGTGGGAGGGAAAGCATCTCTGCTAGTAGCAGGCTGTGTGACTGTACCTTGCAATGTTCCTTCTGACTCATGGCTGGGATTAACACACATTGCATGCACTGTAACATCATTTATTGAAGGCCTGTGCCTGTTGTGTTTTCTAACTAATAAGCAATTATACCTTGGACTACTTTCTACTATTTCCCAAAGTATATGATAACTGACTCACAATGCTCTTATTTACCTATTATCTTTGAATGCCAAGGAAGCCCCAAATGTGAAATTGGACTAACAATCAGGTTTTGCCACAATCACCACGAAGATATTTTATATATACACCAAGTGAATTTTAAAGTCAGGAAAGCATTGAGATTTTTCAGAGAGCCCATCACTTACTGAAACTAAATCTAAAGGTGTTTGTCCTTCCTGATTTTTAAGAGTAGGATCAGCTCCGTGGGCCAACAATAAAGCACAAAGCTGTGTTCGTCCCTTTTGGGCTGCTTCGTGCAAAGGTGTGAAAGCCCATTTGTCCGTGGCATTGACACATGCATTATACTTTATTAGTAAAGCTGCTACATCTACATGCTGTAAAAGAAAATACTCCTGTTATAGTCTGAAATATTATTTTATCACACTTTAGTTCTTAAGAAAAACTAGCTATATATCTATTTCCATATTTTTAAACTTACTCTGGATACAAAATGAAAAAAGCATGTTTCTCCCTAACACCATAATTTGTGGGAAAATTAAAAGCTATAGTAGACATTTCAGTGACTAGATGAAACTCCAGGTTGTCAGGTCTTTTCTCCTGCAGAGCAGTTGGTGGGTTCAAGCCACTGACCCTTCATTTAGCAGCCAAGCGCTTAACCACATCACCACCAGGGCTCTTACTTACGAACTAGTAGTATATAAATAGTATCGTTTATTCAGGCCATCCATCCCATTGAAGATGGTCAATACTGAGACCATTTAACAATTAGGACTGTTCTAAGTCCAAAATATTGCCTCTGAATCTCTACTGATTCCTATGAATGCCAATGGGTGTTTTTTTGAACCAACAAATAAAACAAGCAAAACCATCAACTTTTATTGAAAGTGCTAAGAACAGTAACAAAACAATGACAACATACTGCATGTTACAAGCCAAGCTTACAAGGCTCAGAATTGGAACTTGAAACTTATAGCCCTCATAAACTTATAGCCTGTAAAATGGAAGAGTCACACTAAATTCCCTTCCAACTGCAATAATGACTTACATTTTTTAAAACTTCATAGACTTTTAAAAGTAATACAGCAGGAGCTTACCCCATAGGATGCAGCATTATGTAAAGGAATTAGTCCTCCTTTGTCTTGGGCATTCACATCAGCTCCATGTTGTAGGAGATACTCTGCAACTTCTAAATTGTTGTAACCAGCTAATTTAGGAAATAAATGAAACTGTGTAACTCAGTAATATAGAAAAGTTATATTTGAGTTGAATGTGAACATATCTATATCTTTATAACTTTACAAAGCACAGATATTACTGAATAAATAAACACAAGATATTTTATATATTAAAATTTTATCTTATAGGAAAATTTCTCACTGGCTTAATGCTGAAAAACTTTCAATGATGCTATTCATTCAATTTGGAAATTCTCAAAATTATACTGATTGATTTACCTGTATCATTCCTTTAAAACCTTATTACCAGAAGAGAACAAACAAGATGGCGGATCGGGTGGCAGTACAATGAGGAGCTCCTTCAGCAACAACACAGAATCACAGAATATCAGACCAAGCAAGCTCAGGGGATGGTCCCAGAACTCTGAACCACACATAGAAGAATATTTAGAAGGTTGGAAGGCTTACAGCTAGGGGAATTTGTAGCAGAAGCAAGAAATCCAGTGCTTTCTAACTCAAGATGCTCAGCTGCTCCTGGAGCCGCCATCTTGGGCAAGACCAAGCAGGGGGAAAGATCAGAACAGCTACGGACACCTGACTGAACTGCAGAGACAAAGGTGTGGACATTCTTTTTTTTTTGTATCTGTTCATTGGTCTCTTGCTGCTTGCACATCTCCATTCTGGTGACTAGAGAGGGTGCCTGAGTGAGTGGGCACCCCACCCACAACCTCGGAGGGTTCTACTATGCATATGCACAAATCTCCTCGAAATTTAAAGTGACAGTTTCCATTTAAATCCAAATGGCAGTGCAAAACGGCCACAGCTGGCCCTAAGCTGTTTATCACCAGGAAAAAGGCCTGAACGGGGATTGTGGAGTGGGACAAGCAGACTAAACAGGAAACAGGCTGAAAATTAAATCCTGAGTTACAATACAACAAATAACCATGGCATCTTGAAATTTCTCAGGAAGAAGAGTGAAAAGGGTAACACATCTTCTGATCACATCTACCTGGAGGCAATCAAAAAGCATAAAAAATACCAAAATACACACCCATCTAAGTATTAAGCCCACAGATAACTCCTGAATAAGCCCAAAAAACAGAAGCAGATGACTATATCAACACATGTCCAGAAACGAGATAAAGTGACTGAGGCAAATGAGCTAGAAGTAGACCTACACTCCATACTGGAAGATGCGCAGGCTTTGGAAATGCCTAAGAAGGAATTCAGAAAAATGATTATAAAATGTATCAAAACACTATACAATAGAGCTGAAAAAAATAAGGAAGAAGTCAGGAAAGTGCTACAGGAATAATAAAATAAGATAGATACAGCATTGGAAACAATTCAAAACCTACAGAAAGAGGTTCAAATGATTAATAGTAGAATATAAGAAATATAGATAATACACTGAAAGGGCAAAGGAGCAGAACAGAAGGCAGAACTAGTGAACTGGAGGACAAACTTCTCAATACCAATAAGACAGAAGAGCAAGCAGGAAAAAGGATGAAAAATCCTTAGAAGGTCTAAGATTCATGTTGGACAACATGAAGAGGAAAAACTTAAGAATTACTGGCATTCCGGAATAGGAAGAATCACACAAGTACACAGAGGAGATAGTTGAAGAGCTGCTGGAAGAAAATTTCCCAAACAACCTGAAAAGTGAAAAGATAAGCATTCAAGAAGCTCAACGAACCCCAGGAAGGATAGACCCTAAAAGAAAATCGCCAAGACATATAATCATAATTCAAAGATAAGGACAGAATACTGAAAGCAGCTATGGAAAAGAGAAGTGTAACATACAAAGGCAAGCAAGTCAGATTAAGCTCAGATCTCTCAGCAGAAACTTTGCAGGCAAGAAGGCAATGGGGAAACATATTTAATAACCCTGAAAGAAAAAAAAAAACCCAAAAAACTGCCAACCAAGAATCCTCTACCCAGCAAAGCTGTTAATCAAATACGATGGTGTAATCAAAACATTCTAAAATAAACAGAAGTTAAGGGATTTTGCCAAAGCCAACTCTACTATGAAAAACATCCTAAAGGAAGTTCTGTGGACAGACAACAACCAGAGAATGACATATGTGGCAGCATCACCCTGAACTCAACTGACAAATGGAAGAGTCAAGAACAAAATAAAATGATAAGAACAGAGGAATCTGGGAGGTCAGTCTATGATTGAAACAATTACAATGTAAAAGAAGGTAAACACAGACAAACAAGAGATCCATGTGGTAAGAAGGTCAGATAGATTACAGGATAAAATACACTGTCTTAAATGGAGGGAAGAGTTAATAAAATATAAGGTAACCACAACAGTAGGGTTGGGATGGGGGGTTTAGCTCGGGTGTTGGTGAGGGCAATACAAGAAGGAGGAGGAGGCGGAAGAATAAGATAGATAGGGGAACACTGAAGACAGGTTTGCATGGCCTAAGAGGGACAGAAGTAAATAGTGATGCATGCTCAACCTTGGAACAACAGGGCTCTGTGCTACAGGGATCTAGGCATAGTTTGAAGAAGGAAAATAATACTAAAATGCTTGACTGTCCCATGAATATTAACCAATATTAACCTTTGAATATTAACCAATATTAACCTTTGCCTACTACTGTAAAACAGACACTTGAGTGGGTTAGAAAGGAATGTTGGGAACCATGATTCCAGAAAACTTGTAAGCCCATCTTCAGACTGTAACTGACTGGAATACCTAAAAGGGGTTCTACAACTTGCCCAGTAAAATAGGCTTCTTGCAGAGCCTTTGCAGAGTATAGAACCTTAGGTGGAATCCTGAGTTCTATCCAGAACCTTATGAGGTGGGACATTCCCACTATCAAGGACAAGCAGACCAGCCTGGAACAGCTAGTGCAACAGAAGATACATCTTCAAAGAAAGATCGGCAAGAAAAACCCAAAACAAAAATGTAAGCATGACTGGCTACAACAAGAATAAGCAAGCTGTTTGCCAGGAAGCCATCAAGGCAAGCAATTAAGTTCCTTCAGGACAAATTCCCCTCTAAGACTGAAACTCAAAGGGAACACACGAACAGGAATGTAAACTTGTTTGTGACCACATTGGTCTACTGGTGAGTGGAAGAATGTGAAAGGCAGCAATGAAGAAATGGGCTGAATTCAACCAAAGTCCACTGACTCCCTTTGACCTGGAGATGCGAGAGAGAAGAGGAAGGGCTGGTTGCTCCAAGTATGGTGAGACCTGGGGACACTTGAGCCCATGGACAAGGACACAGCCACAGAGGGCTAGAGCTGAGAGTGATATGAAGTGAGGGAGATGCACAAGAACACCCAAACTTGCAGACAGTACCCATATGACCTACCCTCAATGGCTTGATAATAAGAACTTGACTAGAGGAAGATTATAAAAAAATTTTTTTTCTTTCAATAAAGGAAACAAGGGTAAATTGCTATAATTTGATTAACCTGACCTATATTCATAGAGGTTGTTGTTGTTAAGTGCCATTGAGTCAATTCTGACCCATAGTGACCCTGTATAGGGTTTCC